TGACGGGCGTTCGGAACAACTTCATCATCGTGTTCTCTTTGGGAATATGGACAAGGGCCGAGCTAGACGAGGAGTCGTTGATAACCTCGAGCAGCTGATCAGCCGTCCACACGTCCTCCTTAGCAATCTTCTTCCTCATAAGGCCGAAGCCACGGTCAACAGCGTTCTTGGTGTGGCCCTTCACGAAAAACTTGAGCTCAACGACATCAAGTTCTCCAGTTTGAGCTGAAGCCAGCAGCATCTTAATAACGAAGTTATTCTTGTTTTGGCCACCGCAATTGTCAGCGTAGATAGTGAGTTTTCGATGGCCGTTCGCCAGCACGATCCGCTGGATGAAGTGATACAGCATGCTGTTGACCTCGTCCGTTCCTTTCCCAGCAACCGATTCTTCGTAGACGTAGTTGTACTGTATTCCCTTGTTAGCGTAGTAGATTCCAAAGACGTGAACGTTCACAAGAGACAAGAAGTACCACTGAGACGGCGTACTGGCGACGCTGGGAAAGGTCAGGTTTTGACTGAAATCCATGACGATCACTGCGTGATCCTCCGACACGGATGCCAGGTCCTTCTTGTACTCCAGCCTAAAAAAAAGTTCACAGTTAAACAAAATGATCTTTGCATCCCATCTCAAACAAAATGATTCTTGCATCCCTACCTCATCTCCTTCGCGGCTTCAGTGTGAACGCCTAACTCCTCAGTAAGCTCCGCTGTGATACACGACCGCATGCGTGTGTGCAGGATAGCACACAAGTCACAAACGTTGCTACGAGGAGACCTGATCCGAATAGTCGGACAATACTGCTGCAGGAGCTTTCGAAACGTCGAAGGGCGGGGTTCACGTACGTCCAGGTCGTTCTCGAGCACGTAGGCGTTCATCTCAGTGTAGAGCTGATCCCAGGTAAAATATGCAGGCAACAGGGTGTAGTTTTCGTCCGTGTACTGCTTGCGAACGTTTCCATCGATCGTTTTCTGTGTGCGAACTCTCACGGGAACAACATCGCCTAGGATCGAGGCAAACGACCGAAACCAGCTCACCAACCAGCGAATTTCGATCTTTGTTGCGTTCATGTTCAGTAAACCCTTGTGTACCTTGACGGAAAAGGTGCCACGTTGAATCTGACAGCGGTAGCGAGTGATAGTTGCCGTGGAAACATCGTAGACTGCACACCATGTCTCTCTGCAAACACGCCCTATCAGTGGCAGGTAGTACGTGAAAACGTGTCTTTCCCCAGTTCCCCGACGCCGCACTGCGGTGTCTGTCTTCATTAGCATCGCCAACGAAGTCAGAACGCTCTGCTTCTTCTCCTGGGCGGTCATGTTTGATGTCGAGCGCAGGAAATTCTCAAGTTCAGCAGCCTTCCCCTGGAGGCAACGATCGTCGCATTTGTCTCGCTGGATTAAGCCGACCACTTTGTCGTGAAAATCCTCGCCACACCAATTGATGCTTCTGTCCTCAGCAAACTCATCCAGAGACTCCTCGTCCGACAGTCCATCCTGAACCTCTTCAGTACTTGACTCTGCGCTTGACCCTTCGGAGACAGGCTCCCACACGCTGTCGTCGGAATCCATGTCACTGTGGCCTTCCGGATCCGGTCTCAGCAACCCAAGCAGCCTTCTTTCACCAGAAAGGGCAACGCCCTGCTCGGACGACACACTAGGGCTTGCATGACTGCTGGTGGGTGGTGCCGGAGTGGAGGAGGGGCCGGATGCATGTCCATTGCTCGGTTGAGTACAAGATCGCTTTCGATACACCTCGAGAAAAAATGGGTATGTGTGGGAAAAGCCGCTTTTTGCAAAACTTCATTTAAGTCCGAATTTCACATTTCACTCGCCAATCTTTAAAGCCGTTTTTCTCGATAACTCCAAATGGTTCGTAAGGATCAGTTCGTTTGACGCCGTCTCAAATGATGTCGCTATCTCTGAAGGATGCATCGGAGCTCTTGACCAAGTACACGGCCCGCGTGTCGTCGGAGAGCGCCGATGTGGCCGCTTTTAGCCCCTGTAGACTGACTCACTCTGGATTTGGCGCTGCCGTCGGCCGGTCGTGGCCGCTCTCTCCTACTGAGCCCTGGGTGCGTTTGGATGTCGTCAATCTTAGTCAGAGCAACGCGCTGCTGACCGTCAAGCCCTCGTCCTCCCAGCAGCTACAGACGCGTCGAGCACTACTCGAACTCATCTGCCAATTAAGTGCAACGTCGTCGTGTCGATGGCCGGAAAGCTTCGAGTCTCTGTGGTGGTCGGCCGTGCTGCGGCCAACAGACTTCAAGGACGAGAAATACCTGGAGACGGTGTGCGACGTCGGGCCCAAGCCGAGATTCGCACTATCGACAGGAAGGCCGACACTGGAGAATGTGCAAATGTTGTTCCAATTCTTGCAGATGGACCACAAAGAACTGTTATTGGAAGAGGACTGGCAGCTTTTGAAGAGTCTGAGAGTGGCTATATGTACTTCGAAAAGAGAGAGGCCACGTATTGAAATTTGCTTTAGACTGACAAATAACGTGGTAGATACGTCAATTCTTCGTAGTATGGCGAATGGGTTACGCGAATATCTGGCCGTCAAGACAATCAATGAGGAGGACAACGACGAATATCCGCGTATCGAGTTTGAGATCTCAGAGCTTTGGTTCCACAACTGCCGTTTCTTGAACGGATCGGAAGACTTAAAGTTGCTGGCACATATAGTCACACTTCCTTCGTCAACGATTCGCAGCTTGATGCTACCCGGAGTGTTTTTCAATTCACTAAGGAACCCCTCGGGGCTGCAGTGTTTCCAGTCGTTTGCTAGACAAATATTGGCGCCGTCTTCTCCTTTGAGAATGTTGGACCTGACACGAGTGGGCATTGATACCAACTGTGTGGCGTCTCTCTGTTCTGCTCTGCGGTATTCCTCGAGACTAACGAAGTTGTCCATTGGCCACACGATACGCGGTGCCCATTCGAACTCTCGGTTGGTGTGGGCTTGGATCTGTTTGAGTGTATTCCACGCAGACTCAGGCTGCGAGTTGGAACACTTTGACGTTTCCGGGTTACAGCTGCACAGTGAGGTGGTGGAAGTACTCAGAACCATGCTGTACTCGCCTCATCCTGGCCGAATGGTGATGCTCTTGCAGGACGGACGTTTACCAGATGGTGAAGGGTGTGAGGAGTGCGAGTTGCCTCCAAACGAGCGTATATTCGTTCGACTACTCGACAGAGCCCAGGCATGGACCAGTCCAGGTGGTTCTGCTGCCTGGCCACAGTTGCTACCAGAAACATTGCAGCCAAATGCCTTCGAATATGAAGTGATGGTGCGTCTTACCGACTGGCTGTGTATTTTGATTCCAGGATATGGTTTCGGTTGGGTGGTTCGAAGTGCAGTAAGGTATGAAGTTTCAAAGCCATCACAGGTGGGAACAAGATCTGGAGTAGTAGCGAGGTCGGGGTTGCAGTCGTTAACGTATCGCGGGTTGCAAGAGCAAAGTGAAGGAGTGGTGGGTCTACTGTGTCTTCTAGGAAGTTCGCTGACTTCTGTGGATGCCCCATTGTGCGGGCTCAACTGTCAGAATTTGGAGGCGGTATTGCATGCGTGTCCGAATCTCTCCAGCTTGAACGTGACTGGGAATATCATGAGGGACTTAACACCTTTACTACGCGTATTTGAAGAGGGCCGATGTCGGATAGAGAAACTGGGGATTTTTGTGGAATCTGTGAACGCTACTACTGCTGGTCAACTTCAAGCGTTGCTACTGCATCCCAACTCGAAGTGTTTACAGAGTCTTCAGCTTGAGACCATCAACTCCGGCGCCGACAGCAACAACAGCGAGAAGATGATTTGGACTCAAATTGAGCGAGCTCTTGCTGCTAATTCAAGTTTACGCTGTTTACACTTATCGCTGCCATCTGCGGACTCGTACGCCGCTGCAACGTCGTTGATCAAGCCGTTGCATGGCCAAGTCCTGCGCTACCATACGCCGATACGACTCAAGATTGCATTTCTCAGCGTCGTAGAGCACATATCTTCGCCATTATTTATGACCGCACTAGACCACATGGTGCTATCCAATGTTTTCTCGTTCGCCACCACCTCGGCAATCCGTCGTCAAGTCAACGTGCGCCGTTGATGGTAAACGCGTCCAGATATAGAATTTGTTCGGCAGGCAACGATGCAGCCCAGAGTATACAACAAGTAATAATTCATTGCAAAACACATTATGGAACTCACCATGCATAAATGTCGGCATGGGACCAGGCAGGCTACTTCGCAGCAGCCTCGATTTACCTGAACGCTGCATTGTGTGGCATTGTCAAAGTGCACGTCACAAGTTCGTCAGTTGATGATTATCTTTTGATGGGATGAGATTCTGATTGAGAACGCTAAGAACAGCGCTATTGGTAGTTGAGTACAAACCCGCAGTGCTGGCATTTAAAAAGAAAAAGCCTCCTGCTAGCGTAACACGTTAAAGAAGCGGCCAGGATGATGTCTCTCGGACAGCCAGATCTCTCCGCTTGTCCAACCACATTTTTTTGTTTGATTTTAGTTTTTTTTGTGGAAGGTTAGCTTAAGTTTACTACAACCAGAGCCTTACTTTGGACGAATGCGAATGCTATTACTTAACACGTTCTATAGCACAGTAGTTAGGCAAACCCAGGTAAATCGGTTTATTGCCTGAGAACAGAGACAGCAAAACACGCAACGCTTCAGTTATCTTGTGTTGTTACATGTATCCCCTTGCTTCGCCACCATGTGCACTGAACAGTGCAGCACAACGCACATCCTTGCGAGCGAACAACTGGGTGATCATGTAGATGTGGTTGTTTGCATGGCCAAGGCTCTTTATGCTGCATAACGAACCGCACATTTATGCGGTTCGTTAATAGGCTTTCGAGCTGGGTTTTGAAGCGAATCTACAAACGTCGCCACCACAGGCAACGCTTCGATTACTTGTTCACCTGTCGTTGAGGGATAAGCTTCCCCGCCACCATCTGGGACTCGCTGATAATAGAGCCATCCCACTGGGAGTGCTCTATTATCAGCGAAAGCAATTCTTTCGGATCAACTTTCGGTTTTGAATCCCGCAACATGACGCTACGATTTGAAATGGACCATTTGTGCATTCTCTTACATGGTATTTTCATAAAAACAAAGGTAATGATTTTTTTCTTAACCGAAATTTTATAAAATAATTCCTCCTTTGATTCTACTCGGCACATATACACATACGCAATTGGAAAACGTGCAAATATCTATTTGCCTTGGTAGGTCAGTAGGTAATCTTTGTGAATGTTCTTTATCGTTGTTCAGCACAAACGGCGTGCTTCTTACAGTGATGCAGTGCAATACAACCGTTTGGTTCTTCTGAGAACGCAATTGCGATTTTTTTTTCTCGCAAATCTGATATTTGTTCCTGCACCCCTAGAATTCAACAGTAAACTGATAAAATGACATTTTACCAGTTTAACAAAACAAGTTCAAAATGTTTTATTTACGGATGCAGAAT